AAACTAATTTGGCTTCCTTGGTAGATTTTTTTCATATACAGGCTGAAAAACCAAAAAAGAACCTGGTAGGTACTATATTTTTAAATTTTAATATAAAATTATAAAACAAAATGTTTTAAGAATTTCTAACTATTCCGCCAAAAAATTAATTTTGGTTGAGAACATAACGTGGTGGACACACTGTAAGAGTTCTGGGCGTTTCCCTTTATCGATTTATGTCTCTTATCAGTCAAGCTGTGCTCAAGTACACAAGTACTCGAAGTACCTATTTTCAATTTTCTAGTTTTTTTTTAGTTAGATACAACTTAAGAAAATGCTTTTTAATTTCTGAGTAAGTTAAATTACCACTAACATAAAAAAAATGTCCTATTATCTTTTTTTAATACTCGGGTTTACGAGCGCACTTTCGCTATCCACCAACAATGAAGTGCCAACAATTGCTATTTCTTGTGGTAATACACAATTGGAGACCTTACCCAAATATCAACAATCTATGAATACTCTTGAGTTTAAAAAACTGCTTTTGTCTCTCTGGGATGAGGATACCAAAATAGTTATGGTCTTAGAAAATGAACTAAGTCTTGAAGATTTCACAATGAAAGGTAACAAAATTAAAAACATATTTTAGAAGTTAGTTCACCCAAGTAGATGTGAAAAAAATACACCAAAATGTTTACATCATATTATTAATGTGATTTATTATCCTTGTGTCAGTTTAAACCAACAAATACCTATGTGGATTTAATAAGCATTAATACTTTCCAGGTTTAGACTTTAGAAATCCATTTTTACACAATTCATCAAACTCTTTGTTTAGTCTATCTTTGTTTTAAAAAATTTTGGAAATTTCTTAAATAATTAGTCATTTAGTTTTTATTTTAATTATTATTTTTTGTCATAACTTTAATTACTAATAAAAATAAATATATATATATAAGCATGTATTTACATAAAATCAAATTAACAAAAATTCAATCTTTTGATAGTCTTAATTTGTTTTGTTTTGAGGTTGTGCCTAATTACTTTTAACTTTATTTTAATATCAGATCTACAAATAATATAATTCCAAATACCAACATATAACTGTTAATTATTTATTTAAAATAATAAAATAGGTGTTGGGTGTGGCATAAATGATTACAATTTAACTAATAATATGCTCCTATAACAATGTACTATGTACGATCTTTCTTTTAAATATTTTAAATTGTAATTACACATTAATACTATACATACCTACTATATATTGCTTTTTGTATTAGTCAAAATTTGTATTTCTATATGTTACCAATGTTAATTATCTTATTAAAATGAAACACATTGAATATTAAATTTAAAATATTATGATTAAGTGAATTACCTGTATTAACCAAAAATTTGCTTAGTATCATTATTTATTTTTTACCAACATTTATATTAATAATATTCTTCCTCTTAGGCGTTTCCTAGCCTCTTAACTGTACAACTATACTAATATTTTCCATTCACATTTTCTGTTTGGCATTTATATATTTAAGTAATTTATTCGGAAGTATACAGTAGATTATAATAAGTTTCTATATTATTAATTTATATATTAAAACTTATTATTGAATATTATTGACAATAAAACAACTTTTATCAGATATCACCTTTAAAAATATTGACTATGAAATATTAAATAATAAATATGAAATATTTAAGTTATATTTTGTTTGTGTTATAGGTACTGATGGACATAGTTTATTCCAATTATTTGAAAATGCTAAAGATCGTCGTTTTTTCCCATCTGTTCATCAACCAGAAAAAGCCCTTGAAATGTTATCAAAGAATGGATTTACTGTAAAAGCCTATAATGCTGATACATATGCAAATAATTCTGGAAAAATTATAGCTTTTGCTGATCTTGATGACAATAATCATGATAATGTTGATAGTAGACAGTCAATATTGCTAAAACATAATAATGATGTTTCAAAAATATTTACTGCTCTTTGCACACAGTACACAAATGTAGTGTTAGTGTTTTCTGGTAAAATGAATCCATGGATTGAAAAAAGTGAGGCATCAAATGCACATCATTTAGTAACTAGACACCTGATGGCTGTTGATGGTAAATCTGAAATATTTAAGATTGTTGACCCCCAAGGAAAATCACTTATATACTCAGCCAGCTATCCAACTGTATCTATTAATAATGGGCCATATACTCCACTTGAACCTTCAAATACTAATGTAAGAAAATTTGTATAAATTTGTAAAATTTTAAAATAGAATATGTACTATAATTTTTTTTTTAGGTATACCTTGATGATTCACGTGAATCATTGCTTAAAGTTGGAACAACATTTTCAGTTAATAACACTAAAGTTACATTACGTTTTCGTTTTGAAAGAATAACATTCATGTGGGAATTGAAATCAATTGAATATGAACATGATGATAATACTATTCTACTTGCACCTAAGCAGCAAATTAAGGCTCAAAAAGGACTATCTTACTTTTCAGCAGGACCAGTAATCTTCTCAAATGATTCTATTGTATTGAAGTTTAATGACAAATTTCAGGTTAGTCATAATTTTTAATTCATGTTGTTTTACAAACTTAAATAGGTATCAGGTATAATAGTTTATGTTTACTACTAAAGAAACTGTAATGTATTTAGACTTACCACTTTTTCGTGCACTTAAAAATTACAATATGTAAAAAAGTTGTATGAAAAGTGTTTATAACCATCATTATGTTAAATAAATATTGGCAAATATTCCACTTAAGTCAATAGCTTCAGGATGACATTAAATTTATTAAAATAAAATAAAGACATAAACTTCTTAAATTTTATTATAAATATATAAAAAATGAAAAGTAAAATTTGCCATTTTTGTTTTTAATATTATATGAAGATAGTATAATTGTAAATAGATAGTGTAATTATTGATAAATATTAATTTAAAATGTTTCTTATTAATATGTGCATTTACAGACAAACACTGCAGTTCTGTTTAAATGTAAAGAAAAAATGCAATTTACCATTTTAAAAATATTAGAAGAAACACATGCTTATTTACCCAAATTCATTAGATAAAAATATAAAAACATTGTTTAATAATTTATTATGTTGTTCATCAAGCATAATCAACTTTTATTCATTAAATTAATTCTTATTTTGATATTTTTAATTACACATAAATAAACCCATATTTTTTACATAATTTAAGAAGTATTGTGGTTTTTGAATTATTAAGCTTTATATTCCATATAATATAGTCCTTAATAATGGCTTAATATAAAATATAAATGTATTATATATTTGGTTAAATACTTATTAGGTATACTCTGTCTCATATTAGAGTAATCTTAGTGAATCGGGTATGACTGATGTGCCCTAAACGTCACATTCTTGGGAGCATTACTTAATTATTTAAACAAGCACTCTGCTTCCATTTTGTCAAAATTAACATGATACAGACATTTTTCTGTTGCAGTCGATTATTAGACCTTAGCCTAAGGTTATTCTTACATTAGATATTGTATAGTTATTATAAAATTTTTTTTAAAACTGTCAAACTTTAATTCATTTAATACATTTATACTGTAATTTTCAAATTATCATAACCCCCCCCCCCCCCCATAGCATATTTAAATTGTATACAGTTCTTTAAATGCAAGATATAAATAACTGGTCTAATTTAGGATGATTAAGAGTGTTAATTTAGTTGTTTATAATTTATACTTAACTCATTTTTTTGTAAAAAATTTGTTTTTAAATATGTAAACTGAATGTTTAAATAATTTTTAAAATTAATTTTTCTTTAAAAAATTTAGTATTTTGCAAAAATAGTGTTGAAAACTATAAACTTAAAGTTTTGGTAGGATTTATTAACACTTGACCACTGACAATAAATACCAACTGATACAATGTTATTGTTATCTTTGTTATCAGAAAGAATATTTTTTTAATTAAAATGTATGCTAAAAATATGTTTTTGTTCTTAGGTTCAACCCTGGTTGACTTCAGAAAGCCCAAAATTCAGTGACCCTCAAGAACAAAACTCTTTCTTTACACCACCTATATTAGCTGGTTTATTCGTTACTGCCATTATGTTGTTTATTGTGACATGGGGTATCACAATGATAATGGACATCAAAACTATGGATAGATTTGATGATCCAAAAGGTAAAACTATTACCATAAATGTTGCTGAATAATTTTACATTCCATCAATGTTTTTAAGTAAATAATTTATTTGTTAAAACTTGTGTTAAAAATATTTTTATTTCCTTAAATTTAAATATTATTTTAGTTAATATTTAGGCTTATAAAGAACTTATGTTTTGTTTATAGTAAAATAGATAACTTGTACAATATTATTATGATATTTAATCTATCCATTTAAAATATGTTGTTTTTTGTCCTTCCTACGTAGTATACTAATTAAATTCCCTTGAAAAAATGTACTGTCTTACAAATAACTTTTTATGTTTTACATAATAGCAAACTAAATTAAAATAATTGTCCTGGTGAAGTAATTATGTCAGATATGTTATAAATAATTATGATCAAAATGTTAATAATTATTTTTAGGAATAGGCTTATGAATTTAATTATTAAACGTTTTATTACTAAAATCATATCGACTTATGGCAGTTAAACCCTGGTGACCTGAAAACATGCTACCTACACTAGATCTAAAATCAATGTAGTATAAGGCATTTAGTACTCCTCGAATAAAAAATGTTGAAGACGATTTATATTTTACGCATTTACTGTAATCAACACATTCTATTATTTTAATAAATTTCGAAATTTGTGTGTTAAATTTTTTAAAACGCAACAGTACGAGATATTGCAGCACAATGTTAATATGCTATTAATAATATTAACATTTTATCATCGAAAATTTTTAGTTCAATTTATATGGTCTTTGACGACCAACCTCGGTAAGTACCATTTATCTCAATCAATAAGGTTATGTACAAAGTACCGTTATTTAACACATGTTTTCTCATTGGTTTACTTTCCAAAACCCAAAATACGAGTGATACACATAATTTTGTTGTTTTTTTTTTAATCTGTAAATCCTTTAGACTTTAAGTTAAAACTTCACGTCATAAAGACACAGACGTTAATTGTGTTATCGATCTTCACTTCTTAATACTTGACAACCATAATGTCCCGCCAACCGTGCGTACTTATTTTAGAAGATGGTGCGGAATTTGCTGGTTATAATTTTGGCTCTAAGATATTACCTGTTGATGGCGAAGTTGGTACGTCACTTTTAAAAGTTCCTAACTTTCCAGTGCATGATTTAATTTATAGTACCTATAATTATATTTAGTATTTCAAACTGGTATTGTCGGTTATCCTGAGTCCTTGACCGATCCTTCGTACTATAAACAATTGCTGGTATTAACATATCCGTTGGTGGGCAACTATGGAGTTCCAGGTGATGAGACCGATATTCATGGAATTAAACGGTAAATCTATATAAATAATATATACATTGATTTAATTTAAGTAATAATAAAAAACAATTTTTAATTGTTGGTAAACTCAAAATAAAGATCACTTAAAAAGTTAATGGTTTATGTAGTAACATTTATAGTTTAATTTTACTATTTATTTCATAATGTACATATAATTTTAATTTCCCTAATATGACTTAAGTTATTTTAATTTCATCCTACAACTCGAAGGTTACCTAATTATCTAGTTATTTAAAGAAAGTATACATTATTTATATTAAATATCAGTGTGGGTTTAATTGGTTAATTAATATCATTATAATTTTAAGGTTAATATAATATTTTAATTATTTCTTATTATTTTATTTTTTTATCAATTCATTAATCTCTGCATTTAAGTCTGAAGTTAATTAAATACTTTGGAAGTATGTTTGTGCAAATGAATTGTATACAGTGTCCTGTCCTCGTGGCATTTTTATTGTAATTTATAATTTTAATTCCCCCTTTAATTTGTTTAAATTTTATTCTTATCAATTTTTCTGTATTGCAACACTGATTTCCAAACTTAATTGGTTCAGGTCTATCAAACCTGGTCAAATAAAACCAGGTTAAAAATTATTAATTTTACCTGTTACTTATTCAATCATTATTATGATAAAAATAACTTGATGTTAAAATGCCAGCGTAATGAATAAAATAATGTAATGGTCTAAAAAAAATTATATTATTCTATTATAGTTAACTCCATTGAGAAGCTGCACAGTTTGATAAACTGCTATATTTAATAACTACATGTATTATTAATTTTTTACTTAAATTTACTCTCAAAAAATCCAAATTAATAATTAAAGCCATCCAACAATTTATTGTAGTTGCCTATAATTAATAAAAATTAGTGAAAAAAGAACAAATAAATTGATACTTAAGTTAAACAAAGTTTATACATATATTGATTCATCATTTAAGTGTATACAAATTATATAAATAATATATAACTTATAAAAATAACGAATAATAGAAAGTTTTAGCTATTTAATTAAAACTGTTAACTATAAATTAAATTCATAAATGTATTATTATTATTGAAGACTGGGGCACCAATGTAAATAAATTAATAAAAACTATTAGTTCAGCCGCCAAGGTTCATTTAAATTAAAATTGAATAACTGTTTATGTTGTATTAATTTTATCTAAACTATTTTCATATACCAAATCATAAATATATCATGTTTGAGAAAATGATGTACTAATACAAACATACCAGTATTTAGGTTCAGTAGTTCCAGTTATATTGTTAATTTGAATAATAAAAAAATTTTGAAATATTATGAAACTTAGAGGTAAGAAAATAATTTTTATTTTCTCATTGGCTTTTTATTATATTTAATTTTTTTAAGGAGTTAAATGTTAAGTAATTAATTTACAAAAAAAATATGAGCGTTGTTAAATTTTAATATTTTATATCATGACTCGCTTTAAAATTAAAATATTCTAAAAGTCAACAAAAAATGTAAATAATGCTCTTACCTTCAAATTTGATAATAGATCAATTCACTCTAATATTTAAGTTAACAACACAAAACTGAAATTGCTAAATCTAACTATTAGTATGTTATTACGTATAAAACGAAGACACGATGGTATGATGTTCTTTTAACTTATTGACTATAGATATTAGTTAAAATAAAATATATTTAATTAATTTAATTTATAGTATTGCTTAAAAATATTTTTATAAGTTATTAAAAAAGTTATTTTTTAGATGGTTTGAGTCACATCGTATCTGGGTTTCCGCCCTGATTATTGATGAATTATGTGATCGTCCAAGTCATTGGCGTAGTGAAAAATTGTTAGATGAATGGTTGGCTGAAAGTGGTATTCCAGCTATTTGTGGTGTGGATACACGTACACTGACTAAACATATTAGAGAAAGTGGGACACTTCTTGGAAAAATTGTTAACCGTACCGAAAAATTAGATAAAAGTTTTGATGATGTGATCGATCCAAACAAAATCAACCTAATCAAACATGTTTCTGTTTCAGTTAGTAAAATGTTAATAATTTTATAACATGTAAAAATAAACATTTATTTATTTTTACATTTTAGATGCCAAAAACATACAATGAGCAAGGATCACCTAGAATTCGATTTGTGGACTGTGGTTTAAAATACAATCAAATTAGATGTTTTATAAAACGTGGTGCCAGAGTAGATATTGTACCATGGAACCACCCTTTAGATGATATTGATAACTATGATGGTTTGTTTCTTAGTAATGGGCCTGGAAATCCTGAAATGAATAAAGAAACAATTCTTAATATACAAAAAGTATTAAATAATACATCAACCATCAAACCAATATTTGGAATTTGTCTTGGTCATCAACTGCTTGCTACGGCAGCTGGGTGTAAGACTTATAAAATGAAGTTAGTAATGGTTTATTTATTCAACATATAATAATATGTTATGTTATTACTAGAGCTCGGAAATTGATGACCTTAAAACTAAAAAATGACCTAAAAAATATAAAGAAAGAATAATAATAATAAAAATTACTCAAAATTATTACATTATACTATTAAAGCATATTTTATATTGTCAAAAGTGAAAATTATAGCTAGCAATTATCTTATTCTATCGAATCTTTATCTTAACCTAACTCGTATACAGTTTGTGTAAAACAAAAACTATGCGTGTAAAGATGTTAATTGACAAAATCTAATTATAAATACAAAAGATTAACTAAAAAGGAAAATAGAACCTAAAAATGACTTTAAAAGTAAAAAAGCAAATAAATGCAAAATAAAAATTAGTTATTTAGGTTCACATGTTTATGAAAAACGTTTGTGGCCAAGAGAACATCGTCTAATAAGTTACAAAAAAAAAAAATATAAAATGCATCAACTTCCAAGCCCTAGTTATTACTAATTTATGAATTATTCATTTTTTTTTTTTTTTTATCTTGTTAACTTAATATGGTAAAACAACAAATTAGCCTTGCTATTTACCTATTTTTAATATTTAAGATTTGGAAATCGAGGTCAAAATCAGCCTTGTGTTTTTGGAAAAACAGGAAAATGTTATATGACGTCACAAAATCATGGATTTGCTGTGAATCCTGATATACCTAATTGGCAACCATTGTTTACCAATATTAATGATAAATCTAATGAAGGAATTATTCATAATACATTACCATATTTTAGGTATACATTTATATTCAAAATAATTTTTAAAAAAATAATGTTAAAAAATATTGTTTTATTTTTTTATTTTTTATTTTATAAGTGTTCAATTTCATCCAGAAGGTTGCCCTGGTCCTGAAGATTTAGAATGTTTATTTGATGTGTATTTAGAAGCTGTTGAAAGAAATAGAAATAAAAATGAATTTAAATTGATGGATTTGCTTCTAAAACGCTTATATCCAGATATCCCTAAAACACCAATAGATGTTCAAAAAGTTTTAATTCTTGGTTCTGGTGGACTGTCTATTGGCCAAGCTGGTGAATTTGATTATTCAGGATCTCAAGCAATCAAAGCATTACGTGAAGAAAACATTGTTACTATACTAATCAACCCTAACATAGCAACAGTACAAACATCTCTTGGACTAGCTAACAAAGTGTATTTTTTACCTTTGGAACTTGATTTTGTTTCACAAGTAATTCAGTCTGAACGACCAGATGGTATTTTACTGACTTTTGGTGGTCAAACTGCTCTAAACTGTGGAATCGAGTTAAAAAAATCTGGCATTTTAGAAAAATATAACATTAAAGTATTAGGTACACCAATCCAAACAATTATAGCCACAGAGGATCGCAAAGAATTTTCTGATAGAATCGTAGAAATTGGTGAACGTGTTGCTCCTAGTGCTGTTGTCACATCCTATGAGGAGGTATTGATATTGCTGCATAGTATCATTCTATGAGATTAATTAATTAAATTAATTTTATTAATTTTAGGCTTTAGAAGCAGTTAAAATTTTGGGATATCCACTTCTTGTAAGAAGTGCTTTCAGCTTAGGAGGTTTAGGGTCTGGTTTTGCAAATAATGAGTCCGAATTAAATATGCTGGCGAAGCAATGTTTTACACATAGTAATCAAATGATTTTGGACAAATCGTTAAAAGGATGGAAAGAAGTAGAGTATGAAGTAGTACGTGATGCGTTTGATAATTGCATTACAGTGAGTTTTTTTATGTTATTTTTGCAATTACATATATTTAGTTTTAAAAGAGAATACTCACTTTAATATATAACTATTGATGATCACAGTAGTGTTAAATTCTAACTTATCCCTATTGTCCTGTATGTGATCTCAATTTAATGATGTTTAACAATCTGGTTAAGTTATCATATGAAAATTGTTTACTAACTTGATATTCTCTTTTAGAATAGAATGTAATTTAAAGTAATATTGATAAATTACATTTAGATATTATTTTAAGGTTTGTAACATGGAAAATGTAGATCCATTGGGGATCCACACAGGTGAGTCGATTGTTGTAGCTCCTAGTCAAACCCTATCAAATAGTGAGTATAACAAGTTAAGAACAACAGCAATTAAGGTTGTTCGTCATCTTGGAGTTGTGGGTGAATGTAATATACAATATGCACTAAGTACAACATCTGATGAATTTTTCATTATTGAAGTAAGTTATATTATTAAAAAATTTTATTTATAATATTTTATTACTTATGTTGTAAATTTTTATCTATGTTTAGGTAAATGCTCGACTTTCAAGAAGTTCAGCTTTAGCCAGCAAAGCAACTGGATATCCATTGGCATATGTAGCAGCTAAACTTTCACTTGGAATTGCTTTACCTCAAATAATTAATTCTGTAACATCTAGTACTACGGCATGTTTTGAACCTAGTTTAGATTATTGTGTTGTAAAGATGCCTCGTTGGGATCTCAGTAAATTTTTCCGGGCTAGTACCAAGGTAAATTATTAATTTAATGATAAATGCCTACAATTGAGATTAATTAATATATATATATTTTTCAAAAGATTGGTAGTTCTATGAAAAGTGTTGGTGAAGTTATGTCAGTTGGAAGAAATTTTGAAGAAGCTTTTCAAAAAGCATTTAGGATGGTGGATGAAAACTTTAATGGTTTTGATCCATCATTGAAAGCTGTGAATGATGATGAGTTAGAACAACCAACTGATAAACGAATATTTGTATTAGCAGCTGCCTTAAAAAATGGTTATACAGTGGATAGACTCTATGAATTAACAAAAATTGACCGTTGGTTCTTATACAAAATGAAAAATATCATAGAACACCAAATTGTATTAGAGTCACACAATTACCCATCTGTTCCTTATGAACATCTATTAAAGGCTAAGCAACTTGGTTTTTCTGATAAACAAATCGCGTCATTTGTACAAAGTACTGAATTGGTAATACGCAAACGACGTGAAGAACAAGGAATTACACCTTTTGTAAAACAAATAGATACAGTTTCAGCTGAATATCCAGCAGAAACAAACTATTTATACTTAACTTACAATGCTGTTAGCAATGACTTATACTTCCCATCAAATTACATCATGGTTATTGGTAATAAAATTAAAATAGGGTTTTAGATGCATTTTATGTAATAAATAATTATTGTTGTTTTTAGGGTCTGGTGTCTATCGAATTGGTAGTTCTGTTGAATTTGATTGGTGTGCTGTTGGATGTCTTAGAGAACTTAGAAGACTTGGTAAAAATACAATTATGGTCAACTGTAATCCTGAAACAGTTAGCACTGACTATGATATGTGTGATCGTTTATACTTTGAAGAAATTTCTTTTGAGGTATCGATTATATCTCTTTGTTGATTTTTATTATTAATTTACTAATTTTTAATTATAACTTATTGTTTAGGTTGTAATGGATATTTATAATTTGGAAAACCCTGATGGAGTAGTTTTATGTATGGGAGGACAATTGCCTAACAATATTGCTATGGATTTGCATAGACAGAATGCTCGTATCTTAGGAACTTCTCCAGAAAATGTTGATGGAGCAGAGAACCGATTTAAGTTTTCAAGAATGTTGGATAGGATTAAGATATCTCAACCTAGGTATTAAAATGATGGATGAGATGATAGAATATCATAATATATAATTATTTTTATTTTAGGTGGAAAGAACTTACTGATCTTAAATCTGCTATTGAATTTTGTCATGAAGTAGGATATCCATGTTTAGTTCGACCGTCATATGTTTTAAGTGGTGCCGCTATGAACGTAGCTCATAATGATGGTGATTTAGAAGCATATTTAAAATCAGCTAGTGATGTGTCTAGAGAACACCCTGTTGTCATATCTAAATTTCTGGAAGATGCCAAAGAAATAGATGTAGACGCTGTAGCTAAAGATGGTGAAATACTTTGCATGGCTGTTAGTGAACATGTTGAAAATGCAGGTGTACATTCAGGAGATGCAACATTAGTAACACCACCGCAAGACATAAATGAAGAAACATTGGAAAAAATTAAATTTATATGTCGTGCTATAGCTTCATCATTAAATGTTAATGGACCTCTAAATATGCAACTTATTGCAAAGAACAATGAACTAAAAGTTATTGAATGTAATGTACGAGTGTCCCGATCATTTCCATTTGTTTCTAAAACATTAGGACATGATTTTGTTGCAATGGCTACAAAAGTAATTATTGGAGAAGAAGTAGAACCAATAGATGTATTGGGGGGAGTAGAAGGAAGAGTTGGTGTAAAAGTAGCTGTATTTTCATTTTCTCGGATAGCAGGTAAAGTTATAAATTATTTTAAGGTAACTGTTTAGTATATTTTAAATTACTAAACTTTAATGTAGGAGCTGATGTCATGTTGGGAGTGGAAATGGCATCCACTGGGGAAGTAGCATGTTTTGGAGAGAATCGTTATGAAGCATATTTAAAAGCAATGATAAGCTCTGGAATGCATCTACCTCAACCTGGAACTAAGATATTCCTATCAATTGGAAAAATTAAAGTAAGTTAAATAAATAATTAATTGATAATCTTATATTGAAATATTTTATTTAAAAATATTTTCCAATTGTAGCACAAAGAAGAACTACTAGACAGTGTAAAAGCATTGCAAGCAATGGGTTATAAACTTTATGGAAGCAGCGGAACAGCTGATTACTATAACTATAATACTAAAGGAATTACTGTAAGATTATAAACATATTATATTCAATCTTAGTCATAACTCATTATTTATAGGTGATTCCTTGTGATTGGAGATTTGATAACATTGGTATAAATACAACCAGAGGTGATTTAATTAGTATGGCTGAATATTTGAGTAACAAAAATTTTGATTTTGTCATAAATGCACCTATGATGGTCAGTGGAGGAAGCAGAGTTGCTTCATTTCTTACTCCAGGTTATCGAATGCGTAGATTAGCAGTTGAGCATTCTGTTCCATTAGTGACTGATGTTAAATGTGCCAAACTGCTTATTGAGGTAAATTTTACTTGTTTGACATCAATAATATTGATGACTAGATTTAATGTGATTGTGTTTAGGCAATGGTTCGAAAAGGATGTAATCCACAAATGAAGACTCATATAGATTGTATTTCATCCCAAAGATTATTAAAATTACCCGGTTTAATTGATATTCATGTCCATGCACGTGAACCAGGCGCTACACAAAAAGAAGACTTTGCGTCATGTACAGCTGCAGCATTAGCCGGTGGTATCACATTAATAGGAGCTATGCCTAATACCAATCCTTCATTAATAGATCAAGAATCCTATGAAATAGTTAAAAAAGTAGTGAATATTATTATATTTATACTGGTTCAAAATTGCTTATTTGATTATTTCTATTAACAGTGTGCCAAAAATGGAGCCAGGTGCGATTACGTTTTATTTGCTGGTGCATCTTCAACCAATAGTATTGATATTGCACAAAATGCTGGTCAATATGCTGGTTTAAAAATGTATCTTAACCAAACATTCAGTACATTGCGTTTAATGAATCTTTCGTCATGGATATCAGTTAGTACAAAATATATGATTTTAATTCAATTGTTAATAATTTTGAATTTATTAGCATTTTGAAAATTGGCCAAAACATGCTCCTCTGTGTATTCATGCTGAAGATCAAACTTGCGCAGCTGTACTTATGTTGGCTTCCCTATACAACCGTTCCATACATATTTGCCATGTTGCTCGTAAATCAGAGATAACCATTATAAAGGCTGCTAAAGAGAAGGTATGGTGTAAATACTACAATTATGTAAATGTATTTTAACTTAAAAAAATGTTAGGGTGTAATGGTTACATGTGAAGTAGCTCCACATCATTTATTTATGTGCGACGAAGACTTTGTACATCTTGGTCCCAACAAATCTCAAGTTCGGCCTGTACTTTGTACCAAAGAAGATCAGCAAGCACTTTGGGATAATATGGCTTACATAGATTGTATTGCCACTGATCATGGTAAAAATTATAATGAAATAAAATAATACCCAATTTTTGTCAACACAGTATACTTTACTAAAAGAATATTTTCTTAATTAGCACCTCATACTTTGGATGAAAAACTCAGTGATGCTGCTCCACCTGGTTTTCCCGGTCTTGAAACAGTTCTACCATTAATGTTAAATGCTGTAAATGAAGGTCGATTGACTATTGAGGTATTTTATTATGTTGTAATTTAATATTTTACATAAATAATTTTGCTCTTTTAATTTTAATCAAAATATACTTGATTGAAATGAAACAACTTTAATATTTAAATTTTCATAATAATTATAGGATATTATTGAAAAAATGTACACAAATCCCATGCGAATCCTTGGATTACCAGTTCAACCAGATACATATATTGAAGTAGACATGGATGCAGAATGGACAATACCATCATCAACAACTTATTCTAAAGCTAAATGGACTCCGTTTGCTGGAAAACAAGTGAAAGGCGCTATACACAGAGTAGTATTACGTGGTCAAGTAGTTTGTATTGAAGGCAAAGTATTAGCTGAACCAGGATTTGGACACAATTTGCGCGATCCATTGTTGGCTGGTAAAACACTTAGTACTGTTCACACTGGATCACAGGCTTCTTTAAATCTTATAGCTCCTCTTTCCATACAAACTGATGTTCATGGTAATCTATTTCTTTTCTTCTTTTTACGTAAGTCAAAAATAAAATTTTATTATTTTCAGAAATGTTCAACAATGTATTGTCGGAAATCAAAGAGAAAGTAGTACAAGAAATTGAAAATGTTACTGGTGTAAAAGCTGAGTTCAGGAAACCTCGTTTGCCTTCTGGTGGTGACTCCAGAGATGTTACTAATATATTAACCATAAATAAAGAAATGGTTAACTTGGCAAACAAACGTCAACATTTTGTGTCAGACGATGTTATGAACTTAATGACACCCATTCATACACATGGGTTGGCACATAGTCACATTTTATCTGTTGATATGTTCTCCAAAGAACAATTAAATGAAATATTTAACTTAGCTCAAACACTTAGAGTTTATGTCCTGAAAGGACGACCTCTGGACAACATACTGAAAGTAAGTACATTAAATTCTTATTTTATTAAGCCAAGTCAAAAATATATTATCAACCATTTTGCCTTCACAGTTTTTTAATTTTGATTATTTCTGATCATCTTTCTTATTTTCAGTTCATGTTTAGTAAATTTCATCCTTATTTATCATGATATTCACAACCTAACTTGTTTCAATGTAAAAATTATATGATCAAACTTGTTTAATGATAGTGATGGTTACTGAAAATTTTAATTTATTTTCTCAAAACAATTTAAGTTATTGTTAGGCATATTATCATTAAATTTTAAATTAATAATACTATTTCGAATATCATAATATATTGCATGTTTTATTTTTCTTTACCCATATTGTTATCGGCACCAAGGATGAATTAATGAATTTTTTAAACTTAGATTCCATTCCTAAATAGATATCTGTTATTGGGAGTTATTTTAAGAAATCTTAACTCTATATTATTTATATCTCTTGCAGGGAATGGTAATGGCTTTGATATTTTATGAGGTCAGTACTAGAACGAGTTGCAGTTTTTCAGTGGCTATGCAAAGATTAGGTGGAAGAGTTGTTCATGTTGATGAAACTAGCAGCTCAGTCAAAAAAGGAGAAACACTGCAAGGTACTCCGTAATATAAAAAAAAAAAAAAAATAATAATATTAACAATGTTCTACTGACTTTTATATTTTAGATACTGTGGAAGTAATGAGCGGTTATGTGGATGTAGTTGTTATGAGACACCCAGAGCCAGGTGCGGTCAGAGTAAGTATCATTACTATTTGTAATTATTACTTACAAAAAACGACAGGATAAACAAGTTTTTGAATTAGGATGCTGCAAGGCACTGTCGTAAACCTATTCTGAATGCTGGAGATGGAACAGGTGAACATCCTACACAAGCATTACTAGATATATTTACAATAAGAGAGGAAATCGGTACTGTCAATGGCCTTACTATTACATTAGTTGGTGATTTGAAGAATGGCCGTACTGTTCATTCACTCGCCAGGTAAATATTGTATTTCTTGTTTGTTTGTGATCACATTTGAGTATATTTAATTTTGTCCTCTAGGTTATTGACACTGTACAAAGTCAATCTACAATATGTGAGTCCACCAAATCTAGGTATGCCTGCATCTGTATGTCAATTTGTCACTTCCAGAGGTGTTCCACAAGAAAAATTTTTGTCCCTTGAAGCAGCACTACCCAAAACTGATGTTTTATATATGACACGCATACAACGTGAACGATTCCCTGATGAGAACAGCTACAAACAAGCATGTGGTCTTTTTGTGGTTACACCTGAAGTGATGAATAAAGCCAAACGTAAGATGATAGTCATGCATCCATTACCCAGAGTATTTGAAATCAGTCCAGAGTTTGATTCAGATCCAAGAGCTGCATACTTTAGGCAAGCAGAGTATGGTATGTACGTGCGAATGGCTTTGTTGGCTATGGTACTTGGAAAATGTTAAGTTTATTATACATATGTATGGTATAAAATAAAGTTTTTTACATCAAATTTTATGTTAGGTATGATCTTCAATTGAAATAAGTTATTATTAATGTTTACTATTAATATGTTTTTAATGATATTAATTTTTTATGGACCATTTATATTCTACAATTTTATACAGAACATTATTGACTAATAAATGATATAGGTATTAGGTATTTGGTACCTATGTATGATAGAAACAAAAAAATACAGAAAATTAATGATTATTGATGTATATGTTTAAATAAAATAAATGTACCTATATTATTTTTTAAATTGATGTACTCATAATTTCAAATAATGTTATATTTTATGTTTTTACATTTTTAAAATCTAAGTTAATTTTAAAATCAATTGCATTATTTTTCAAGTAGTAAATATGTATTTTATATTTTACAATGTTCTTGTATATTACATGTAATGCATTTTGAAATTATTCATGCACAAGATATCAATGTCTGATAAAATTATGTCCATAAAACAAGAAAAAAGAAATGTAAAATCTTTCAATTTTATTCGACTCAAGACAAAACAATGACATTCATAATTTGTTTTTTATACATAACAAAAAAAAAAAATAATAGTAATCGACAAATAATACACAACAGATAAACAACTAAATTTATTTTTCGTATTCTAAGTATATTATTAAAAATATTTAAATTTTATATACACGAAAGTTCAAAAACAAAAAAACACATTTCTATAGAGCGTGCCTAAAAAATGATAAAATTTGCATAAAATATATTATTAATAATCGTATATTTTTCGTTTAACAGTTCTACACGCATGCCTACTATACCTCTACCTATAATAATTAATAATAAACGTCAAATATAACAATAATATATTATATAAAATATTTAATGTCAAGCGCAGCGACGTCATTCAGAAAAATAATAACCCATCAAGATTTCATATAATTGTTATTATTATTATTATTATTATTTATATCGTATATTAATGAAAAAAAAGTAGGGCAACTGATCAAACGGGGATTGGCGAGGGAAAAAATAATTTGCACCGATTTTAATGTCGTTTGTGTGAATTGTGGTGGCGTGCGCATTATTGTTACACATAAAGTACTGAGGGATAAAAAAATATAAAAAGCAACCAAAGAGAACAAACGTACCTAATATAATGTTATAAGTCCTTTGCAGCAGTCTGATTATTTTTTAAGCGCCTAAACCTAAACCACTGCCCGTCTAGGTACGTTCACACTTTTATAACGATATAATATTATACATCGTACACGATGACAAATATAGTAATAATAATATACACAACACTAAAGATTTATTATTGTTGATAAATAGTATTTTAATAATTTCAATTAAAGTTTGTACTTTGTCTACTAAACCAAAACAGTCTAAACGCGTTAAAAACAAAATAAATCTTAAAAAAAATTTTTTTGTCCTACAATATTATATCTTAACACACAATCGATGAGACATGATGATCAGCTATATTATTATATTGTCCGTGTAGCGTATTTGAATATTAAATTATGGTTTTTTTTTTTTTTTGTTTTTTATTGTTTTTTTTCCGTGTTCTTGTCGAAAATGCGCTAAGTCGCCTACTGATGGTTGATCGCCTGCAGCCTCACAGGTGTGGTGTGATGCCGTCCGCGCGATGACAAGCGGCGCCTCACCATTTCTGTTCGATTGCCAGGGGCACTAGAAACAAACATATATTCGTCCAAAAATTGTTTTACAAGTGTTACTATTTTTTTTTCAAAACTATATCAATCATGTTATATGTTTTATGTGTACCCTTTATTGTGGTGTTCGTCAGCTAAACTACTGCAGCGCAAAATCACACACGCATACAAAGAAAACCGGCCTGTGTACAGCATTTAATTGTTAGTAACGCGTAACGTACGAGGTAGCCAATGACGAGATTCCGTCATGTTACAAATAACGACTTTGAACTTTAAACATAGAAATTTATACGAATTTAATGTTGAATACAATAAATACGCTTAGTAGGGGTGCACGGAGCGAGCCAGTCAAGCCCCGGTTTAACCGGGATATTTTTGAGGGCATAATAAAATTTCAACACAGTACTAATACTAACAATGAATCAATACATTCGTGGCTAGATCATGTGAAAGCAAATAATTACAGAACATCATTTAATGGATTTTTACTATACTGAAATTATTCATTGTAATACCAATTAAAAATTGTTCCTGCGAATGGATATTTTCTAAATTAACAATAGTAAATAATAATTATTAATTTAAGGATTATTATAAATCAAAATCGACTTAATAGTTTATTATTAATGTTTACTGAACCAAAACTAATATTTAATATTAATATTTACATAGTCATTGACGAATTCAAAAGTATGGGGAAATAAGATAATTCATTTAGGTATAATTCTTTAATATTATGTATGTGCATTTTTTTTTCATTAAACCAAGTTTTTTAAATGTTGGGTAATGGGTATTGTGTTTTCTTGTTTTTATACATAATTCTATTTATATCATTTTTAATTTACAATTAAAATGTACATTAATGTGTTTAAAAAAAAAATTAGGAGCACTGTCCAAGTATTGGGGCATTAATTGTTCCAGGCTCAACCGGGAATTAAAGTCTGCGAACACCTACATAAATAATACGTCGTAATCTACAGAAGCGTATTTAGACATATCCACTATAAACCCGAGCCTAGAACGGCAAATCATTATTTTCTTTTTTTTAAATTACAAAAATGATTTATCTTATAATTTAAACAATTGCATTCGTTTCACCGAAATTGAACAGCTACTTGCCTACTTATATATTATACTCATATACGTAATACGAGCCAAGGGAACGGCGATGAATTGGACAGTTCTATAGACGGAAAAAACCTAAATATGCCACAACGTACTCCACACCACGAATCAGTGATGGATTTAGCGGGGGGAACGGCTGCCTCCCCGTAAGCTGGTTGATACATAACTTTTTTTTTGCTTTTTCGATTTTAAAATCAAACTTACACGTATATAAATTATTTTTAATGTTTTCCACTCCCCCTCCCGTTATATCGAGCTAAATTCGTCTATGTCACGAACTGTTCGATTTTATCGATATATGCATATACGTTGATAAAAGAGTGAGTTTAAGAAATCACGAGTAATAATTCCAGGTTAAAAGCAGACAGTCGGTAAGTTGATTGAAATATTTTTATACATACTACTCGAGAAAAAAATTTATCGAGAGACATGAAGGTTGTAAGGAAAAAATGTGTGTGTATATATATTTAAATATAATTACGATAATAACGCGGTGACGAACGGTTTACCTTGACGCGTTTATAACCATCTTGTGGGAGAGAGAAAAATTTCGCTATTTTTAATGTTATGAGAGACTCGACGACGAAACATCTCTCTCAACCCGGGTTACGAGAGACCTGTACGCAAATAAATATTTTATATATTCATTTTTGGCTCACATAAACGTTGTGCCAATAACGTGTGTTTAATTATTATCGCCACACAGCTGTATATTGGCACAACGACGTTCGACGGAAGCGAGTCAATGGCAGCCAGAAATTCGTACAAATTTAATACAGGCACATCAGAATGCCTATAAATATAACGCCGTCACACTGTTTTACGGACTAGATAAGACGTAGGAATTTAAAAGCGAACGCCTACTATAGCCTATACGTCCACCGATCCATTGAAAAGTGTTATTTAACGTGTTCTGTTTTCGTTGTAAATCGCCGTGGACCGTGTACCGTCGGGATTTTCAAAAAACTTTCACATAGAACTGATCATAATATGCCGTGACAAGGACACCCCATGAAATTATTTCCAACTCATAACCCCCATCAGCCGAAAAAATGTATACACGTTCTACTTTTATTATTATTTTAAAATTATCAACGATTACTATAATAGTGCAATAGCTTTTATATTTGACCGACATTTAACTTTTAAGTATTCCGATAAAGACTAAAAATTTAACTCATTTGATTTCATACGAACAGAGATCAAAATATATGGCTATGACTAACGGCATTTGTTAGCCAGTTTTAATGTAAGCTTAATTTAAAAATCAATACGCCTATGCCCTAATATCCGTCTATAATACGTCATTTTTGGACCTAGTAAAATCTTCATTTCTTAATCGATAGGCATTGAACACGTTTTTCGTCAACAGCGAGTAACGAAATATAATTATTGTTTTTAATATTTTCATCAATATCCTATTGCCAATACAATAGATTCGAAATTCACGTATGCAGGAATAGATATTATAGATGGTTTGTGAAGTCTCAATTGTATCCGCGTCAGCGTGTTTATTGAAAATGTCAGTAGAACGTCGTTATTGACGACTTTGTTTGAAAAAAGTTACCAACTAACTAGTATTTTATTTATATTTATGTTGATTATTTTCGTATCTACATTTTTACAATAATTTAAAATCCAACATGAAACAGTGAACTTAGAACTCCTCAACAATTACGTTCAGAAAACAACTCGAAGTAGGTGTAATTTTACGGGGCTTTTAATAGGCAATTTCAGTGATTGAAAGTAAATGGGAAGGTATTATATGAACCCTGACTTCGGTATTGTAAAAACGTCTCTAAAGCGAGACTACTGAGAAGTGAGATCATTGTCCGAAGCCAACGACCTGTGTAATAGATAAAATAATGTAAGTACGCAATAAATCACTGACAAATACACGCAACGGCCAGGCATTCTATAAATCTCCGTGAAGATGGGCGGTTTTTAGTTATAGACTAGACAAATCGCACAGAATAACGTTTGACACGAAAATAATCTGAATCGTATAACGTAAACGCGATGAATAAGTCGAATAATTTCGAGGCTTTGAAGGCGATCTCCGTACACTACCCGAACATAATATGAAATTGGAAAGAGGGACAAGTACATAAGCCAATTTGAGGCTTTAGTGATTAATTTATGCCCAACTGACGCCCTGTGCATTTTCTTAAATGTCAACTAATGTGTAGATAAACGTAATATGTAAATAGATATGTTCAACTAACTTAGTACAGTGATAAGTATGTGATGATAACGTTTCGTACGGTTTTTTTCATTTGAAAATATTAATGTCGTCATAACCATAGTCGATCTTTTTCGATAAATATAAAGTGTAAATATGGATGATATAGTATTCATGATTTTTGGATAAAAACAATACAGCCGATTAAAGGAAATAAGTAAAACATGGGTCCTCTACATTTTTTGGAAGCAAAAAAAAGTATGTACGTAAATCTTGGAGCATGGTTCTCAGTGATAGAATAAGAGCCTCAATTTACGAAGATGCGCTTTACTGACTTTCAGATATAAAGAGAAACATTTGACACGGTGACATTACATATACCTAGGTGTTGGAAGTGTTGAATTGAATACCACAAGTGCACAAATATTTTTGAAATGTTTGAGTCGAATCTCTAAATTTGACTTATTTTTTTATCGTTTATAACCCAACTAATTTTTTATTATATTTTTTGTGATTGCGTTCATTAACGTTTTCTAAAATTCTATAGAATAAAGCGCATTATATTATTGTTAATAGCACTACATTATATTTGCATATTTTTTATGCATTCTATCCATATTTTATTTACTTATATATTAAATTAATTATCAAGTACGTACCTGTTGCTTCTGTCTCACCCTGAAGTGGTAAATCAGCGTTCAACGAGCCACAGCTCTTTGCATCGGTGCTCGTGCATAATATACACATCATACCTGAAGTTGGCCGTTTCTCTCCAAGCAGTTTAGCAGCGTCAGATATTAATCATTATGATATTAATATAATTTTGTTATTTAGATACTATATCATATTATTACTAAGATATGCGCATTGGCTGCAGCGGTTAATCAATTTACTATACACTATACAGAATGATTCTCTGAACGGTAACGTACAATGTATTATAATTATTTTAGAATAGTATCAACATTTTTCGTTTCTGATGTCACCATTTTCAGAAAAGTATTCTGTTACAGTTGATTATTAAACCAAAACACAATAATATTATTATAACTACTATATTATAGGTACACCAAAAGTCTATAATGGTTTCACCAAACATCATCAGACGTTAAGGCGATCAAGTGTTATACACTTTTTGAATCGACAAATGTTCATTTTCAAAAAAACTATATTGTATACGTATGCGTAGCAATATCTACATAGAAGTTATTTCATTAGTGAAGAAATAAAAAATAAATTTTTCGGCGGTATTAGATGAGTTAACACAAAAAACAATACAATTATTTTTTTAACTAATATAGCTATTAATCATATAAAATAATATTTCTGTATTTCGCAGATCTTATCTCAAATGGTCTGCTGCCGACTAAAGACAAAATAAATTGGCAACTCACGTGATACTTAGCAATAATCTATAGGTAGTATATTTAATGGTAAAAATAAATAATAATAGCACTTCCAAAAGGTCGATCAACAGCAGCGCATAATTATTACTAAGTTAAAAGTCAATTTTTACGCTTAAAATATATTATGCTGTATAATATAAAAAAGACAATTTGTAATCATCACTATATTCAAGTGAAATAATATTTTTACAGACATTGACGAGGAATTTTAATATGCTGCCAGGTCGATTTTTAAAATATTTTAGATATTTAAGTCTTCAGCCAGATGATTTTATTTTAAATTTATTAGAATAATATTATGTTTTCTGCCATAATTTAATTCACTAAAAAAAAATATCCAGTTATATCCAGCTAAATTCTAGATCCTACATTAGCTATAATAAATACTCTTAAATAAGAAGCTAAAATTAAAAATCTTATAACATTGCGAATTAATAATATAGATATAAACATACATTTTTCTTTAAATTTAAATAGGTAATATAATAAGTTAATATTTAATTAAAGAATGCATAGTTATTTTTTTGTGCTTAAAGAAGTCCAATGAAATATGTATATGATTGTGAATTTAGAGTTTGTTGTCAATTTACAAATAAATAGAATTATTATAACAGATTGTATTTTTAAACAGTAATATTATAACTATATTTTTCAAACAAGTAATTAAAGGTGATATAGTTACATTAAATATTAGAATTTATGGCCAACATAACCACATCGATAGGTAAAAAAATGAATGCAGTATAAATTATGGGTGTACCTAATATTGAGTGTTTTTTTTTTATCCTAAAAATCAAATTGTTTGGTCAAACGTATAATGATGAATACGATAAAAAAATAATAGCTTTTTACGAATTGAAAGCATTTATGTTATACGCAATCTGATGATATATAATATCCAAAACTGTAATGGTTCGGACATAGTAAATGAAAAATAAGTGTTAAAAGTAAAGTATTTATAGATATTTTTACTAGGTTATAGAACCGAGCGGAATGATGACGAAAAGGAATGTGTAAAATGTGATGTGTCAATGAACAAGCCGCTGTAAGCACAATATTTACGTCTACAAATTACGTCGAAAGTAAATTAGATACTAAAAAAAAAAAAAAAACAAATACAATAATAATGTCTAAATACTTGAGTATACATTTAGTACTGCTATACAGATAAAACATAAAAATAAATAATTCGTCTAAACGCATTAACAGTATAGCTTCACAGAATTAAAAACAAATCACGCAACTGTATACAATGATTGTGTGTTAAATAATTGTTATTATTTTTCTTCTACATAGGTACATATTATATTATATACGAAAACGAGAAATGGGAAGTAAACAAAAAAAAAAACGGAAAACAAAAATGTTTTTTAAAGTAATAGCAATCGACGGCACATTTAAAACAAGTAATATCATATATAAGTGGTGCGCGCAACTATTATATTTAATAAAATGCATCAATTAGCGCTTGAAAATTTATTTATTTTTAATCATCATGTAATTTGTACGAATTCGACGGCATTGCCGAGCCATTGTCTCGTTCTACCATCTGACCATCAATTTCATAATAACGGCTTATACTCGATTGCGTACCTATACAAGTCATATCATTATATTTCATCACGCGGGTGTCACTTTTTTCAGTCTTTCCCGAAACATTAACCGCAGTTATAACACTGTGTTGTTATAGGTAAGCCGGAAGAAGATGTGCAGTTTCGTTCACTCCCTTTCCCCCAACCATAACAATGAGCCAGCATTGTTCTGTGCCGTGTTGTCATTATAACGAATCAACAAAAAACAAATGATTGCATTTGAAAAAACGATTCTGAGCGTAGCAGATTTTGGTCAAACGATTTATTGTTTAATGAAATCGAATGATTGTGCATGCAATGAAACTCGTGATGTTACACGTTCAGTGGCGTATTATATAGGAATTATTTTCACGATAAGCAAATTTCATTTTTTTTTTTTTTTAAGGGGGCTGCTAGCTCCTCAGATTCTAGAATTAATTAAGCTCAAAAACAACAGTAATATGTTATGTGCATACAACGTACATATTTTGTTTTAACTTTTAAGTGTTTTAAAATAAAGCAGTTGGTGCAAATGTGCAATAGAATAGTTTGATGCTATGTTGTAATAAATTAAAACATAACATATTGACCAGAAATCACAAGTTAAATCCCAATTTCATGGAAAATAAGAATGTAAAAGTTATGATCTAAATGTTAAAGCTATTCCTTAAATGCACCAGATAAGTATTCATAACTTTAAAGAGGTTAGGTTCTATTAATTTTAATTACTAATATTACACATGTCATTAAGAGTTTTTTTATTCAACAAAACAATAATTCAACTTCTCAAGTTAATAACTATTTTGAAATCAAAACAATAACTTAATGTTTTAATGTTAACTTTAATACTTAAACAATAATATTTACAAATATTTTTATTAACTAACTAGTAGAATATTAATATTTCAATAATAAATGTATATGTATACAAATCGAATAGTAAAATTTACTTCATAATACAGAATGTGTGATGTCAAGAAGGAAATTACCAAATAAATACTTTTTTTTTAAATTATTTATGTATAAAAAATAAGTTTGGATTTAAATTTTTATCAAGAACTGTAGATATCTTAAATAATTAATCACTAATTATTATTAAATATTTTTTTAGAATCAATTTTTAATAAATTGAGTTGTTTTAATTTAAATTTTCTATGCCAAAATAAAAAACATAACATATAAATATACTCTAGTTACATGTATTGAGTTAAATTTAATTTGAAGCGTACAATTTTTCTTTTTAAAATATTAAAAAAATATATTGACTTGACAACTATTCTGTATCATATAAAATTTACACACCCATTAGAATTAAATAGTATAGAAATAACGTAAGAATTATTCAAAAATAAGCTATCAAGTAAAAATAAAAAAAAAAATTAAGAAAAAGTTTATCTAAATTGTAATACCATTCCATTATTTGATATTGGCCTATTCTTGTAATAAAGAAATTAATCTACTAGTTCAACACAATATAGGCTTCTGTTCAAAAAATATAAAAAACAATGTATTCGGATACAAAATTAATACATTCTTTAAATTCAATAGCCTATAGTTTGGTGTTATTAAATTATTTTTAAATGCCCTAGTGTATGAATATGTAAAAATAATAATAATAATAATAATAATAATAATTGCTATGCATTAAAGTTTTGACTAAAAACACCAATCAACACAATTTTATTAGTAAATATATAAATACTTAATATGCGATTTATTATTATTTAATTGTTACTCTTTTCAAGCAGATTGAACAATGTTTTCATGTTCAATTAGATCATAATAGAATTATGCAGAATAAATGTTAAACAGAAAACAGATTTTCCTAAAAGATACACGAATATTGTTGAATTAATGATAAACCGCACATTTTATTTATTCAATACACATAAACTTTAATTATTTTAATAATTACAATTATAAAGAACTAAAAAATGTATATATAATAGTAAAAAATTTTAGACTGATATGTTCGCCCACATACTGCATTATAGTATATTGTTTGTTGTAAATCCAATAACTTCAGAAAATAATATTATGTGTACATTTATGTCAGGTCAAACGACATATGCATTTAAAGGTAATTTTAAGCATCTTACAACATTAAATTAAATCACGCACCAGATGTTAATTATAAGTAAAAAAAAAATTTAAAAAAAAATACAAATATAAAACAAAAAAAAATAAACATCTTATTGGCAGTGAAAAATCACAAACGTATATTGATTTGTCTGTTGTTCTAGACACACCTTACCATATGCATTAAAATCACAGGACCGAAGGCACGCAGAACACGCTATTTTAGAACTAATTCCTTACCCAACAATAAATGCCAAACATCTTAAAATTAAACATAGTTTTTTCTTCTGTCGAGGCTTACTACAAGCTTACAAAGAGTTAAATGTCTTCAACAAAACATTTCTAAATATTAACTATGGTAAAAACAGAGTTAAGGGCAATGAAATTTCTATTTATTTTTAAGTGGGTTAGTTATTTTTCAGTCTTGTTTTCGTGTCATAATACGAAAAAGCGAAGAAAAAATTATTTAAAAATTGTTTAATTGCCAGATAAATTATTTTGTACATGTATCAGAATGTATTTTTAAATAAAATTTTATTTAGGGGGCGGGGAAAAAAGCGAAAAGGACGGTGGCCATCTTGTGTCCTTTACAAGGGTCCATAAATGATGACGGCGAAAAACACGGACCACATGAGCACGATACCCCACACCGATGCGATAACGCTCTTACCGTCAGTGAACCGTCGGGCAACAAATTTCAAAGTCTCATCCAGAAGTACTACAGGTATAGAAAACTTCATTACAGTGATCCATTCATCAAATGTGAGAGGAGTCACTTGGAACACGGTCTGTAAATTTAAATTTGAATTAATTTTAAGTTAACTATTCAGAATTTAAAATTTGAGAATTGTATTTTACAAACCGATAAGAAGTCAATATGTAGAATAACAAAATGAAGAGTGAAGGATAATAACATAGAACCAATAAGCCACAAGTTTGACCATGGTGGCATGCTAATCAAAGATTGATTCTCAGATAAACTGTAAAATATAAAAACTACATTATATCATATCTATAATTATGTAATACTAGAAAAATTATAAAAATCTCATTTAACCTGTTCATTGCGTTCAACATTTCAATTGTGACCAATACAGAGAGAGCCATTGTCATTGGATGAGGATCATGGAAAACTGCACAGTCAAGACCTCTGAACTCACTTCCTCCGCTTACGCATGATAAATGGTGAGTCTAACATAAAAATAATTAAATGAATAAATAAATACAAATCTAACAGTGTATAACTTACCAGTTGATAATAAGATATTTGTGGACCATCTTCACAGTACATAAACCACCAAGCAGCAGCACCAACAGTAGCTGCACCAACATATCCACCAATAGCCATATAACGGAAGAACAACCAGCCAGAAATCAAACCTTCATCACTTTTACGAGGGGGCTAACAATAAATTACAACAATAAGTACAAAATATTCATACATATAAATAAATTAAAAATATAGTTTTTTCATTACTTTATCCATAATGTCAAGATCAGGTGGATTGAAACCTAGAGCAGTAGCCGGTAAGCCATCAGTGACCAAATTGACCCACAAAAGTTGTACAGGAATCAAAGCTTCGGGTAATCCAAGTGCAGCAGTCAGGAAAATACTAACAACTTCACCAATATTGGATGAAATTAAATACCTAATGAATTGTTTCATGTTGTTATAAATAGCTCTGCCCTCTTCAACAGCTGCCACAATGGATGAAAAGTTGTCATCAGCTAACACCATTTCAGAAGCAGATTTGGCTACAGCAGTTCCAGAACCCATAGCAATACCAATTTCTGCTTTTTTCAATGCTGGGGCATCATTTACACCATCACCAGTCTAAAGCAAAAATAAGTAAAAGTTAAGAATAATAAATGTATAATATATACCATTAGCTTATTTTCTATAAGACTTCAGTACTAAAATATATTTTATGTTATCTTACCATGGCAGAAATTTCATTCATGCTTTGTAAATATTCAATAATTTTTGATTTGTGGGATGGTTCTACTCGTGAGAACAACCGAGCTTTAGCTACAGCAGACTTTTGTTCAGACAGAGATAGATCATCAAATTCTCGCCCTGAGAATGATTTTCCAGTTGTATCTTCTTCTTCAGTGAACACACCAATCCTACGGCAAATAGCTTCAGCTGTAGCCTGAAAATTCAAAGTAAATTAGAATATACAAGTTATAAAGATTATATAAAAAATACAAACCTTGTTGTCACCAGTGATTACAATAACTCTAATACCAGCTGCTCTGCACCTCTGGATTGAATCATATACTTCTTTACGAGGAGGATCCAACATACCAACTACTCCCACAAATGTCAAATTTACTTCATAACTATGGAACTTGGTAGAATCATTAAGATCCATTTGTTCTGGTTTTATTGGTGAATCAGCAGTAGCAAGAGCTAAACAACGGAGTGTGTCACGTCCAGTACCATATTTACGAGTCAAATCTAGGATACGGTTTTTAAGCGCAGATGTTAAAGGAACCTAAAATCAATATATTGAGTGATAAATGAATGTTGTACTTAGTTAATAATACAATATTACTTTTTGAGAGCCAACTCGGGCGTGTGTACATCTTTCAAGAACACCTTCTGGAGCTCCCTTAACAAACAATTTAGGGCTATTACCCATTTTGGTAGTTTTGATGGGAGTACAGTATGAAGACATAGATTTACGATCTCTAGAAAATTCAAGAGTAAATTCTTTTTTCCATTTGGTTTCAATATCTTGTTTCACAACAATAGCTGTTGTTCTGCGGTCTAAGCCAGATTTAGAAACATTATTTGGGTTCATTTTTTCTGCTAATACTATCAAGGCTGTTTCAGTTGCTTCACCGACCTAGTAAAATATAATTAAACAATTAAAACATAAACTATAGTAATTATTTATAAATGATATGAATACAATTTACCTTTTCAAAAGCTTGTTTAAATTCATTAAAATCAATAGCTGAGTCATTACACATCACACAAATTGTTCCCAATTCGTTTAATGCTTCATAATCTGAGGTTTTTATTCTTTGGCCATTAAGGAATACATCACCAATTGGTTCATAAGTCGATCCTGTGATCTCAAATTCAGTGAACGAACTGTCATTTCCTTCGATGTGTTCAAAAATGAACATTCTAATTAAGCAATTAAAATATCAAAATAAAAATGTTGTAAACTAAAGGCATATAAACCCAAATCTGTGATTTAAAATAAATTTTTATTTTTATTAACCTGCTAACAGACATCTGGTTGGTTGTAAGTGTACCAGTTTTGTCAGAACATATGACAGAAGTACAACCAAGAGTTTCAACTGAAGGCAGCGATCTAACAATTGCATTCTTTTTAGCCATACGGCGAGTACCTAAAGCTAAACAGGTAGTGATGACAGCTGGTAAACCTTCTGGAATGGCAGCTACAGCTAAAGCAACAGCAATTTTGAAGTAGTAAATGGCACCTTTCAGCCAAGAACCACCATGGGCAGGGTCATTGAAGTGACCTAAAAAAAAAAAAACCAATTTAGTATTTAATATTTTATTATATTTGTTTGACTAATAAAAATATAAAATAACTAAGTGATAAATACCAATATTAATGGCCCAGACAGCAACACAGATAACTGAGATTACTTTACTAAGTTGTTCACCAAATTCATCTAATTTTTGTTGCAGAGGAGTTTTGATTTCTTCAGTCTCACTCATTTCAGTACGGATTTTACCAATGGCAGTATTTAACCCAGTACCCATAACCACACCTCTAGCTTTACCAGCAGCAACATTTGTACCACTGAATAAAATATTTTTTTTGTCCTGAATTAAAAAAAAAATAAGGTTAAATTAGTATATAAATATATATTGCAATTGTTAGTATTAAGTATCCAACCTGGTTCACAGCCCTTGGGTCTGGAATGGCATCTGTATGTTTAATCACAGAGACTGATTCACCAGTCAAAATAGACTGATCAATTCTCAATGTGGTTGAATAGATTTTGATTAACCTAATATCAGCAGGGATTTTATCTCCTACTGATATTTCTACTATGTCACCAGGTACAATTTCTTTTGCCCTGACTTTTTGAACACCAGATTTGTCGCCACGAATGACTTTACCCATTTCTGGTTCATATTCTTTAAGTGCCTCAATGGCTGATTCTGCATTTCGTTCCTAGAAAATTATAATAAATATGAAAAATACTTAATTAATAATAATTGTACAACAAAAATGTATTCATTATTCAATTTATAGTATGAACTAGAAAAATGCTAGATATTACAACCTTTCAGTTATTTAAAAACTATATAAAAATCTAAAAAGAATTTTAAAAATATAATAATAAATCAAATCACTAAAATATTTTTCAGGCCTTATAAGTATATAAAAAGAAGGGTTCATTATTATCTTTTTTTAATAAATAAGAAAATCTACAAACAAGTAGAAAACTTATGATATGCAAATCTAAAACTGTAGGCATACATACACCTTCAGTCATAAAATGCGTCACTAAGTGCTTGTTTAAAAAAATTCAGTAGGCGAGTTATACTGTTGCCAATTATTTCTGTACAGAGCCAAAGTAAATATCAATCATCAACTGGCAGGGCCACCACAGTAGTTCTTACAGCTTACACACAAACAAAAGAGATCATAAAATTCTTTTTTTATTTTGAACATTAAAATATCTAAATATAACAATCAATTGAATGGATTGTAATAATGTATTTTTTTTTTTTATTTATTTATTATTATTACTATGATTTTATGGCGCCTACCTAAAAACATATTTTGCCAGTAGTTACATGGATGTTTGTACATTTACTACTTTGAACTGAAGCCAAAATAGCCAATTATTCATTTTGAAGATTGTATTAAACAATTAATATACCAATATAAAATTATTTTGTTATTAATATAATAGCTTTCAAAATAAAAAAAAATATATATATATTATTTTTTCTATTCAAGAGTTTTGAATAATATAACTATCTAACTTTAAAAATATATAGTATGAAAATTTAAATATCTTAAATATCAAATGTGGACTTGAACAACAAATTTTAGTAATATTCTATAAAATAGTATACATGTAACAACTAAAATTTTAAGTTAAAATAAATTATTTTAGAATTACCTGCCACACTCCAACTACAGCATTTGCTATGAGAATAAGTAATATAACAAGTGGTTCCACAAAGGCAGTTAGAGTTTCATTAATGTCATCGTGTTCTTCAAATAATGCTAATACCTAAATAAAGAAAACAAATATTATGCATTGATAAATTTAAGCTCATATAATAATACTTACAAAAGATATAATAGCAGCTAATAGTAAAATTTTAACTAGAAGGTCATCGAACTGTTCGAGGACAAGCTGCCAAATTGATTTGCCTAAAAGTTTGGTTAGACATAATGATTAAATTTAATTCTACAAAAACTATAACTGTCAATATTATAATATAATAATATCTTGAATAAAATACAATTTAATATTTAAAAAAATATATTCTAAAATAAAGAAATTACAAAAATAAAATCTTTTTTAAGATTATTATAAAAATTTATTAAGTGATAATAGATAAAAAAAAATCTAAATACTAATAAATTTAAAATAAAAAAAATATACATAATAGCCTTAGTTCTTACCTTCTTCAGCGGGCAATTCTGAAAAAGAAAAGAAATTCATGTAAAACAAATAATAAAAAATATAATAAAAGATCATAAAAATGTTTATTTTTGATTGTTTAACTAAAATATATTGTGATTAACTGATAAAATAATATGTAAGTACCAAACAATTAAAATATTATTTTGAATTTACTATTTTTCTTATTTTATCAAGTCAAATTATTGTATAGTATATTATGCTATTAAATGTTAGCTAAGATATATTTACACAACTTATTATTATAGTTTATATAATAATATTACTAAAAATTTGCGTGTATCATTTTTGAAAAATGATACATGAATTTACACAATTAGTGTCATTGAACATAATTTTAAAATATTGTTTCAAGTTTTTATTGTTATGTACTAAACAATACCATTAATGAAGTTATATTCAATGAATAAATAAATATTAAAACTAAAAATAATTGGGTAAATTATCATAAATATATATATATATATTGTAAAGCTAAAATATTATTTAATATCCAACAACTATTATTATGAAACCTTATACTTTTCCTAATATTTTCATTTTTTTAGCATCAAAGCTATATTCAGGACAATGCATTAATGAAAGTGAAATCATGTAATAGTTACACCTTTACATTATACATAATAAGAACATTTGAGCAAATTTAAAAAGTAGTTATTTAATAAATAATAAAACAATAGTTATATAGATTAGTGCTAAAAGCAATTAGTTCAATGCTAATTAAGCAGGTTTCATTAAATTATTTTATACAAAAGAACATATGTTATAATATATTTATATAATAAAACCATGTCTTTTATCTAATGATAAGCTAAATATTATGAAACATACATATGTTATAATGCACACTCGTTATTTAGTTCCAACTTAGGGATTATAAAATTATAAAATGTTAAAAAATTTATTAATATTAAAAATAAAATGATATAAATAAATTATAGACATTTTTTACTCTCATTATTTTTGAAATCTTAGAAGTAAATCACACAAAATTATAAATACCATACCATTAGAATAGTCTTAAGAAATTATAATATTGTATAAGTACATAATTAAATCCTCATTTAAAAATGGTTGGTTGTATTGCAATATAATTATTTAATTATTTTGTATAATTAGGTATTCATCAGTTTAAAAATTAATATATTTTTTGAACACAAAGTTTGTATTTAACAAAAATATAATAGTAAAAATTATTAGTATCATATATAATTTATTTAAATTAAATAACTATCTAATGGTTAGATAATCAACTTTGATAAATAATTTTGAATATTTTAAACACAGATATGGATTGTCAATTTTCAAATGTTTTTAAGTTATTAAACAATGAACATTCTCATTTAATTTAAAACAAAATACAAAATAAGATGTAAAATAATATTAATTTACTATAAACAGGTAAACTATTAAATAGATATTCTGTATATAAAAAAAAAAAAAATAGCTTATAAAAATATAATAAAAAATCTATAAGCTAGTATAAAATCTAAGTTGACACACTTATTAAATTTTAAGATAAAAATATAATAAAAATAATTTAACTTTTAAGATATGTTAAAATATTAGTCAAGGTTATAAAAAAATAGATTAATTTGTCTTAATAAAACCAGTTACAAAATAAAAAAACAGTACCTTTAAGTATTAATATATTTTGTTAATGAGTATAAGCAAATAAATGTACCAAATAATAATGCTTGAATGTCTCAGTTTTATATTGTATATCACTTAAATTAAAATTATTAACACAATTTCATTATTTAAACACCAAAACTTTAAATAAAAGATAAGTAATTTATAATTAATGTATGGATACTGTTGAATATTTTTAATAGCTTGAAATAAAATTTAAAATGAATATGAAAATACAATATAATGGAGATACCTTATTTTAATTAGTAATTATGAAACATGAATTTACTTAATCAAATTTTAACCTTAATAAAAGACACAATGTGTTTTTATATTTTATACACTTTAATCACTATACATACCATTAGGTCCATATTTAGCTTGATTCCTTTTTATTTGATCAAGTGATAAACCTTTTTCTGGGTCTACGTTGAAGAAGTTTTGTACCTCATCCACGGTTTTCGCGTGGGCGTCCTCCATTGTGGACGGCTTGGTGGTTTAAAACAGTGTTCCTTTAGTATAACATTCACAGAGATCCTTTAAATATATCTTCTGAAAAAAAAAAACAACTATTTAGATAACTAATATATAAAAAAAAAAATTATATCCATATTAAAATTACAAATAAGTAGATTAATATTTTTATTTTTAATAGTTAAAAGATAATACGGACAATAGTATAATGCATAAGTGAATAACTGAGTTCATAAGACTAAATTTATTGCCATTTTAGTCATTGAAATGGAATAGCTGTTTGCAAATATAAATGTAAACTCACAGAATAAGTAATACAAAATCATGAAAAATATTCTTAAAATTGAATGTTAGGTATTTTAAAACAACTAAAAACCAAATACTTTTGATACTTAAAACAATCCAATAAAAGTTGTTTTTTAATTATTTGGAAGCTGGGAGGCACTTACTAAAATATTAATTTATATTAATATTATAATAGAATATTGAAGAATTTGTTAATTGTATGTTGATTTAAGTGTATATAAATGTAATACCTTTCGCATATTTAAAATTAATCTTTACCTTATACTCACTGGATATTTTACAAAAATTATACAATTGAGTGTTTGCAAGAAAAAATTGGAAAAACTACTAAGCAACTCACATCAAACACAATTAATAGTATGAAACCCTTACATTTTTATAATATTTAAGAATGTAATTTGCATTATAAAACTATATACTAAAAACAGATAAAAACAAATAGCCTTGATAAGCCAACAACTTACACAATGTATTAATCTCCATTATCATATTTACTGATATGCTTCTTATTCTAAAAATATTAAGTACACACCTAATTTATACTAGGTATTACCTAATAGTTGTTAAGGGATTAATATTAAGAACTCACATTTTTAAACTTCAGAATTTAACAAATTTAATCTGAGCATGGTATTTACAAAGAATCTGGGCAGCATCATTACAGTATATTATAGACCAAGACAACTTATACCTTATCTAGGCTGCAGTAATATGGATTATTGAAAGTATATAATATTTAAAACATACTTTGGGCAACAATATGTTGCCCAAAGTATGACATTAATACAATTGTCGTCAACCTAACCTAACCTCAAGGTGTTTTCCATAAGAGTGAAACCACAAAAATTCATTAAAACATTACATAAAGTAATTGCACAAAACAAACCTAACCACCTGTGCAACGACGATATAATACCCAAAGAGGAAAATGGAGTCTCATTCTCAACTCATTTACTATCGACTGGGTGCGTAGAGTGCTAATATATACTATTATACCCACCAAATATGGATTTACACACTAACCTTTGAACACCACAGTGTTACGACATAACAAATCCGTAGTATGCGTGACAGCGGCAATTGATAAAATGTGTAGCAACGGTCGTCAGCTTTTGTAATACGTACGGTTTTCTTTGGACTTTAAATATAAATAATAAATAAATAACGAACGAACGAAATGTACTTAAACAAAATTTTAATTACCGTGTTGGTACGTTGTTTGCACCCGCCGAACAATTAATAATTAACAATTATATAATTAAAACGTCACCGGACGAACACGATTTATTAAGGGGCAAAACGAACTAGGGGGGAACAAAAAAAACGAAAAAACTGTGTGCTGGTTAAACGAGGAATACACGAGTTAAAATTTATTACTGTATTAGATATTATTATTATCGTAAATCGTAATAATAATGCGACGTTCCTAAAATAATTATAATACGATATGTCCTATTAGTAAATGGCGTATAATGAACCATAAAGGTGGCGGCGACTCTATCGGGAGGTCGCACGGTGGTGTGTACGGGAAAGAGGAGGAAAAAAACGCAAATAGATAAAGATGGAAGAAGGAAATAGCCGTCGAAACTTACACGTTGCGGGCCGTGCGACAGAGACGGAACGCACTTCGTATTAGCGGCCAATCGGAACGTCGTACGTAAAATACACGGCACTTGTTATCAACGAAGCCGGTTTGTTACCACCTTCCCGCCACCAGCCGATCGTCTATAGACGGTGTGACGCACATAAAATCAACGACATCTATCGTGGAATCGATTGTTCGCAAAAATTTCGGTATCGATGCCAAACAGCGGGCGGGCGACATTAACGATTTTTATTTTTCACGCCCCGTGATCATTTCGCGGAAGGTAGACAATCGTTTTAAAATCGGCCTTATCAATATATTTTTAAAAATGGTTGTTCGTTTTACCCACAGATATATACTAATACTAGATAGCCGTCTTCTTGTTATCAGTGAAACACGCCGCCATATGCAAAGAATACTCTCGGTAAACAAACGTTATCACTTAGTAATCAACAAAATAATATTATGATATTCTGTTCAGTCGTTCAGTATTCTAGTTGAATAATAAATTACTTATTGTTGGTAAATAGTAGTGCCTACCTACTTATATTTGTATTACCTACTGTTTAATAATTGTTATTTTTGTTAATAATATAAGTAATTATAATAAGGTAGTACCTGTAATTTATATCCTAGTATTTTTGACAATGTTTCCTTATTTCATATTTCATAATTCATAAAACATTACAATTTAGTTATATCCCAAATTTACGTAGATTAGTATAAATACATACTGTATAGGTTAATTAACAGTTTTGTCTAATACTATAAAACAGAGAACTGAAAAAGTGAGAATTAATAAAATATAGGTAAGTACTAAGTAATACAATGATATAAATAAATGTCTATAATATAATAATATGTATTATACTGATAAAAGTCTAATATTGATAACGTTTGTTTACCGAGTTGTATTCTTTGCATATGGCGTCGGTTTCAATTATTTTGCGGCGGTGTATACAAAGACGGCTATCTAGTATTAGTATATATCTGTGGTTTTACCCAAAACGCACTACGTACCTAAATAAAATTTTAATATTTCTTCAATAATTATATAGTCATTAGTCTAATAAGTGATAGTCATGATAAAGAAAAAGAATCGAAGTTATTTATTTTCATGACGTACGTTTTCCTCTGTTATCTCCTATTTTATTATTTTTTTTTTTTTCGATATTCCCGTTATTGCCTATTGAATTATATACCGTTTTATACTTTTATCAGCAGCAATCGACAATCTTCGGAGTACTTATTAGTGTACCTAATGTTTGAAATGTTTTTCCATCATCTGTATTCCGTATAATACAAGGTGTTATATTATAATGATCATTTTAAGCAGACCAACTTTTTGCATTGTACCGTTTTGCTATAGACTTAACTCATCAATACTTTAAATATTTTTATTATATATATTATATATATTTTTATTTATATTTAATTATTCATTCGAAATTCGATTTTTATTTAGGTATTGAAATTATATAATATATATAATGTAGGTACCTAATTCACATAATATTATTAATAGGTAGGTACCTAAAATTAAAAATGTATGTTATCATTTAAAAAAAATATAAATTATTCTTTTTTTTTTTTAATGTTGTACAATAATATCAAATTGTATAAAAGAAATACATTCAAAAATATTAAAACTTCGAAATAATGAGTGTAGACAATTTTTTAAAATGCTTGCAAATATCTCCTTGTACCTTGGCTTATTTTTTTATTTTAAAAATAATTATGAAATATTAAACAAGAATCGCTTTATTAAGTAGACACTTCTACTATACGTAGATATAACTGATATAAGTAAAGTAAATTGGAATAGCATTACATATTGCTTATTATGTCATAGCTGATTATAACGCTAACCAACCATAAAAAAAATACGATGGAATAGCGTAATATAAAACTTTATCTTAATTACTGTTATTTGAGTCACTCTTTTAATCAAAAAAAGGATTATTTTAAATAATCAAAATTGGAAACTAATTTGATATGAATGAAACGTACACTTAACTAATACTTTAGGAATAATTTTTATTGAGTTAAACAATAGCAATATAGTATATAAGTACTAATAACTAGTTAATCATCGAAGTTTCATTAACATGTACACCACATACTTGACTAATTAATTAATTTTTGGTATTAGCTTTAATATAATTAACTATTGTCTATTGTAAAAAATAAACATGTATAGCAATACCTATTCATCTTCGTTCAATTAATTTACAAATGTAAAAAATCTTTCACAAGAACACGGTAGCAGCAAAATAAACATTTGAATGCACCTCTAGTTAATACCATTAATTTTTTTATGAAACACATGTTATTGGAAAGTTGCCATGGAAGATTTTTGGTGAAAAAAAAAATATTCTAGGTTTTAGTATTTTTAAAGTCTGCTGTTTGTAAAATGATATTTTCTACATGACCTGTGCCAATTGTTTTCGGCACGTGAAATTATTTAATAGTATACATTCATCGTATACACATTTTTAACTTTAGGTCAGACGTTAAAATAATTTTCTAATGAATGTTTGCGGTGTACCTTATATATGATCCTTATATTACCTATAAGCTTAATTATTTTAACTACACAATAGCTTACACAATTACCAATTTAATTTGCACAAGTACATAATACAGTTAGATCAAAAAATTAACCTTGAAATTGAGCTATTAAATATTTATTTCAAACTCGTTGGCGCTAAAATATTAAACTGTTGTTTTATACTCAAATAAAGGTCAAGGTATTACAAATAATAAAATATGTACAACTTTTACTTATTAAATTATTTAATTTATAATCGTCTTATACTTATATTGATTATTTGAATTAAAATTAATACAATTAATTCATTAAAGACTTAGTGTTTAGGTACAAATGATACAATAATTAAAATGTTTAGATATAAGTTTATAGTTAACTAATAAGAATTAATTGGAAATATTAAAATATTTATATTACTTATTACCTATACGTCGTAATGCTAATTGCTATATGGGTACTCTATATATTATAATTTATTAATTATTGTTTAAAATGAAATATGATGGTATATCAAAATAAATTATAAAACGTTTGTAAAAATGTATAGAAGTAAAATTTAAACAAATAAATTATATTAAAATAAGATATCAATAATAAATATTTTTGTGAAATAAATGTAACACAATTTATGTAATACGAAAAAAAATAATATTAAATAATATGTTAAAATATTAGATTAATTTAAGAAATTTTATATTGTAATAATTATTATATAATTATCAATTTGCAACAAAATAGAATAAACCATATATTTTTATTTGAAAACTTAAATTGATCCAAGGATAATAAAGTAAGCAATAAATTAAAATTTCTTAAAAAAAGTAAAAACTCACATTTATTTTGTTTTTGTCCAATTTCGGACGACTTTTGTATCCCAGTTCACAGCCACTTGAAAAAAATAAAAATTTCTGTTAAACACTGAACACTACTTAAAAGTATCACCGAGAATTAAGAAAAAAAGAATAAATTACAGTGTACAATTATCTCGTCCACGGCACTTCGAAGTATGAAATGTTTGAGCAGCAACGAATGCGAGATACGAGGGACTAACGCGGTGATCAAAAATAGTCGCCCTCGTCGCTGCTAGCCGCCGTGGATTAAAAATATTTTTTTACCCGACAATTTTTAATGCCAATTTTTTGTATACTATATAGTAACACCAACTACCCCCACTCCTAAGAAAAAACCCCTCTGAACAATATTGAACCAAAATTAGCGGCTATGCTTTCGCTGGGCAGTACAGCACTCGAAAGACAATTATACACGATTTCGTATTTTTGCAATTATTTTTTTATTATTATTATTTTAAGCTTTACAAAAGGTAAATAATAATTTTTGGTATTTAAATTATGTCATACGACACAAACAATATACATCCAACAAAATTTATAGTAAAATAATAAATAGGCATTCATAGAAATTTTTTTCATTCGATAAAATTTTGAATTATTCATTTCATCAAAGAAAATAAATTTTAATTTAAGTTATATTTCAATTATTTATTACATTATTTCAATGTCATTTTCTTTCTATTTGTTTAAAATGTTACATTTTACAAATTTTTAAATTTTTTAAATCTTAGTTTGGTTCTTTAGCTTTTTAATAGATTTTAATTGGGTTCAATTAACTTGTATAAATAAATATAAATAAATAAAAAGTAAAACACTAACTATAAAATATTAGTAATATTAAAATTTAAAATATATGCCACAATAATAATAAGCATAATTATTATGGATTAAAATAATAGGTTTTTAAATTTTTAACGTATTCAATAAAAATTGAGTAAATTGCATAGTGTTGTCCTTTCTTTTTTACATCTGCAGGTATTAAAATTAACTGTATTAAAAAAAAATTGTTATTTGAGGAAATATTTGGTTTTTTTTCTCTGTCGATATGATTCAATAAAAATTCAATCTAATAAAATAATTTTTATTTTATTCTATGAAATTAATAAATAAAATAATTAGTTTATAATTATTATAAATAAGTGCAAAATTTCTTGGAGATGCCGGGGATCGAACCCGGGGCCTTTCACATGCAAAGCGAACGCTCTACCACTGAGCTACATCCCCTGATAACAATTATGAGAAGTAAATATTATATAAGTAAATACTTAAAGTTTTATTATGTTTTACGTAAAAAAGTAAATTTTTTTTATAAAATATAATTTTAAAATATAATATGAACATTTTTATAAATTATAATTTCTTAAAAATTTTATCACATAATAATATAATTTAGCTATAAAACTATTAAAATACACAAATAGGATTCTCGTTGATTTGTTCACCTTAAGAAAAAAATGAGCTTACAAATTTTTTATTGGCTGTAAATATTAAGGTAGAATGTTCAT